CGGGTACCCCTGTCCCGCGGCCGTGCCACGTCCGCACCCTGTCCCTGTCCCACGTCCACGCCATGTCCCGCAGGCCCCTGCCCTGTCCTGCTGCCTGCTCGCCTGCCTGGCTAAAAGCAGCGTTATTTTGGCTTTCCAAGCCCTCACCTGCCTGGCTCAGGCTCCAGCCTCCCTCAGACCTGCTCTCGCTGGCTGCTAGAGCAGCCCTGGGGCCGGCAGCAGACACGGGGCAGGGCGGTTTAGGGGTGTCAGTTTGGTTTTCAGCCTGAGACGCAGCTCTGAGAGTGACTCAAGTCACCTGGGGTGGAAACTTTCCCTGTGCTGCCTCCGCATGCCTTGGTAATAAAGAGGATTCTCCCTCCTACCCGCTGGGCAGGAGCTGCTGCTCGGTTCCCAGGGACGGGGGCTTTCTTGCAGGTTAGCTTCCAGGTTTCCATTTTGTGTATGCCAGCAAATGTCCCTGTAGTCTGCAGTGACCCAATGCCCACCTACCTTCCTGGGAAGCAGGGGTGGAACGGGGCCAGCCCTGGGCAAGGGAGGGGAGGCCGGAGGGAGTGCTGGGACTGTTGTAGAGAGGGGATGTCAGAGCTGGAGGAAAAACGGGGTATGGGGAGGAGAGGGCAGAGCTGATGCCCCTTGAGGAGACCACCCAAGTTAATACCGTTAGACGACTCCCTGCCCTGGTGCTTAGGGGTGAATTAGCCTGAGGGATTTCTGCTATGGGTGACACCAGGATCTTTAACCTGGATTTAACAGGAAGAACAAGGGTTTTTCCCCGGTATGTGACAAGTGTCAGATAAATCCTCCCTGTCCGGGAGGTGTGAACCGTGTCGGCAGGGTGTGCTACAACCTGCCCAGCCCATTCCTCGCTGGGTGTCGTCCTGGCGCTGGCTGGGCCAAGTGCAGGGAGTGCCTAGAGGCAGTGCTGACGTGACAGTGTCCAAGTCCTGCCTGCCCCTTCCCTCCCAGGGCCCGTAGCTGTCGTGCCCACCCCAGACCACTTCACACAGCGCTCTGCACTGAAGGGCCTTTCCTCCCCCAGGGAACCATGGCAGAGAAGATCCTGGTGACCGGCGGAGCTGGCTACATCGGCAGTCACTGTGTGCTGGAGCTGGTGGAGGCTGGCTATGTCCCCGTGGTCATAGACAACTTTCACAATGCCATTCGAGGTACAGAGAGCCTTCATCCTTTCCCATGCAAGGGGCTCAGACTCTCTCGGTCTACGCCAGGACCTTCCGCTATCCCAGCGCCTCACCCCCTTCCATCTTCCCAGGGGCAGACGCGCTCCCCGAGAGCCTCCGGCGTGTGCAGCAGATCGTGTGCCAGCCCATCCTCTTCCAGGAGCTGGATATCACTGACGAGGCAGCGCTGCAGGAGCTCTTCAGTAAGGTGAGAGCGAGAGCTGCAGTGCCCCGGGGTGGCTTCATGGGGTGCGGGGAGTGAGAGGGGTTTGTGCTGGGGGTGGGAGCCAGGAGGCAGACGTGGACTGGGCAGGAGCTGAGCGGGGAGGACAGTGCTGAGGAAATGCCGTGACCAGCAAATGTTCCTCTGGGCCATGGAGACCACACGGGCTGGCTGAATGAAACTCCTGGGGAGACTTCTGACTGGTTTCTGCCTGGAGCTTCTATCTCCTATTGCTGTGGCCCTAATGCCAAGCTCTTTTTCCCTCTGCAGCACCGTTTCTCAGCCGTGATGCACTTTGCGGGGCTGAAGGCAGTGGGGGAGTCTGTGCAGAAGCCCCTGGAGTACTACAGGGTGAACCTCACCGGGACCATCCGGCTGCTGGAGGTGAGCGGAGCCGAGAGGCAGCGTGTGGCGCTCGGGGCCGCACGGGTGCTGGGTGACTGCTGCTGGGTGTGATCCTGCTCTGGGGTGGCCGTTCTGGCTGGCAGCCTGGTCCCTGCGGCGCTCCCCATGCCCGGGCCCTGTCCCAGGGGTGTAACGGTGCCTGCATGGCGGGAGCTGCCGCCTGCGGAGGGCTGAGCTGCGCAGCTGAGCTGGAGGGCGCGGAGCTTGCTGGCTCAGTGGCGGCTGGTCCCTGCTCCACAGACCATGAAAGCCCACGACGTGAGGAACATCGTGTTCAGCAGCTCTGCCACTGTCTACGGAGACCCCAAATACCTGCCCCTGGATGAGAACCACCCAGTTGGAGGCTGCACCAACCCCTACGGCAAATCCAAGTACTTCATCGAGGAGATGATTCGAGATCTCTGCAAAGCAGAGAGGGTGAGGAGCTGCCCCAAGGCGCGCAGGGCTGGGAACCGAGGTCTTTTCCCACTGGAGCATGCTGGGGTGACCAGGCAAGCGCCCTACAGCACTACACTCTCCCCAGGCAGCCACGTTTGTGTGTTTCCCCAGGACTGGAATGCCGTTCTCCTGCGCTATTTCAACCCCATCGGTGCCCACGAGTCAGGCATGATCGGAGAAGATCCTCAGGGGATCCCGAACAACCTCATGCCCTACGTGGCGCAGGTACCACCCCACTTCAGCCTTTGAGGACCCCCGGGCTCGTGGTGCCTGAGTGGGGCACAGGGTGACGGGGCTCTCGTGGGCTTGTCCCTCTGTGCAGGTGGCAGTGGGGCGCCGGGAATTCCTGAGCGTGTTCGGGAACGACTACAGGACGGACGATGGAACGGGTGCGTCGCAGAAGGGGTGGAGCAGACACCCCGTCCCCCGGGGCAGCCATCGCAGCTCCCCAGCCCGGCTGCGCCCCGGGCAGGAGGGCTCTGCGCTCACCCTCTGTGTCCCCACAGGCGTCAGGGATTACATCCACGTCGTGGATTTGGCCAAGGGCCATATCGCTGCTTTGAAGAAGCTCAAGGAGAACTGCGGCTGCAAGGTACCAAGAGGGCCGTTGTCTGGGGTGCGGCCAGGGCTGTGGGGCTGGGCCAGGGCCCGGCTCTTGCAGCCCTGGGGAAGCTAAAGGGGGCCTGGCCCTTCTCCCCTTGTGAAAGAAGCTGACCCATGTTCCTTATCCTCCTCCCAGATCTACAATCTGGGCACAGGCACCGGCTACTCCGTCCTGCAGATGGTCCGGGCCATGGAGAAAGCCTCGGGGAGGGAGGTAAGGTCTGACCCGCAGCCTGCAGGGCCGCGGGCACGGAGCCAGCTGCTCCCACAGGCCCCTCGTCGCCACCCCAAGCCGTCACTGCCACGGCAGCCCCTGTGGCTGTGTCTG